ATAAACAAATAAACCTTGGTGACATTGTGTTACTCTAAAATAGTGCTACTCAGTAGAAACATAATATGAGCCACACATGTTATCTAAAATTTTCTGGTAGCCAGGTTATGGAAGTGAAAACGAAGCATCACATTAATTTTTTTTTAGCATCACATTAATTTAATTAATTTTAGTAATATATTTTATTTAACTCAATGTATCTAAAATGTCATAATTTCAACATTTCATAATTTATATAATCAGTGTAAAAATTTTTAATGAGATCTTGTACTTTTTAAAATACTGTCCTCAAAGTTCAGAATGCATTTTATACTAGGAGTATATCTCAATTCAGATTCTAAACTTTCTTTTGAAATGCTTGATTGACATTTAGATTTCATAAGATTTAGACATTTCTATGATTTGAAGAATAGATGCACATACTCAGGTTCTTCCACGTATATTTAAAAGTTAACTAGTTACTGTATGAGGATTATTTCTTAAATTTTAATTAAAGTTGCAAAATTCTGGTAATGACTATTTTTTTCAGTGAACATCACCAGCCCACGGTAGAGCATACTAAGTCAAAAAGTAAAAAATCCAATGAGGGTAGTACCTTTCCTAAGTTACAAAATTTTAGCAAATTAATACAGTATTCTTTAATATATTAAAATCCTTTTTTTCCGTTGTTGGAGTCATGTATTATTTTAGTGATAATTTTCACTCCAAAAAATGTCATATAAGTACCAAAACAAAACACTGGTTTTTAATGGTAGTTTATAGCAGAGCAAGTTATTTTATACAAATTAATATGTCTTTTCAAACTATATAATTTCTCCTTTTAAAGAGCATTCCCTTGTGCAAGCTCCTACAGTTTATCACAGCAGGGTAATTCTATGTATTTAGGTGGCTCTGCTTTGTTCTGAGGTTGATCCCAAGCCAGGTAGAGTCTACAATGCATGAAAAGCTTTACCATTCTACCTTAAAGGAGATTTAATATGCCAATGTGATTTTCCAAGTACTTTTCAAAAATTGTTCCATTTTCACGAAATACTGGAATCCTCAAAATCAGATGGTCATTTCAAACAATACTACTTTCATTTGATCCCTTTTATTTAGAAACCTCGCACCTCTTTGTGTTGATCACAAGTCCCATAGCTTTCCTTCAGCTTATTAAAAACAAACAAAAAAAGCACCTCTACCCAAAATACAGTTTTATTTTTTATTTTTTTTTATTTTTTAAATATTTTATTTATTTATTTATTCATGAGAGACAGAGAGAGAGAGAGAGAGAGGCAGAGACACAGGAGGAGGGAGAAGCAGGCTCCATGCAGGGAGCCTGATGTGGGACTCAATCCGGGGTCTCCAGGATCATGCCCTAGGCTAAAGGCGGCGTTAAACCGCTGAGCCACCCGGGCTGCCCCAGTTTTATTTTTTAAATAACAAATAAATATACTGCCAGTTTGCAGAGACCTGGGGAGTGGATGTGGAGCGCTGATTTTCAGCCTCATTTCTCTACAAACCACCATCGGAGTCCTTATGCTCCCTCTCTCCTCCCCACCCCCCCTGAAGCAGCCAATCCTTCAACTTCAGCATTTAATTTATGTGTCACCCATTCCATTGCTTCTTGGCCTTCATTAGCATTTGAAGATATCGTGCTAGCCATCAGTCCTTCAAGGTAACTGCTGACACTGACTCCCCTCACACGGATGGATTATGGCTTCTTGAGTCAAAACAGTTTTTTTCTGGGTCCTGAGGATGTGGTTTGTATATGAGTCTCTCATCTACTGAAACCATATTTGTAAATGAAATATTAGTAGATTTAAGTTCCATGGTCTTCCCTGCAGCATCAACCACAGAATGTTCCTGCACGTATGCTTTAGTTGTTGCTGCGCCAATAAGAGATTTCACAATGGAAGGCAGTCCCCACTCTGTGCTAAGTCTATGGTTGTGCGACTTTCCAGAGGGATCTATATGTCTGTCCAACACATCAACTCCAACCACACTTGGGTTTATAGAGTTTGGGTATTTCTGCATTGCAGCTGCCCTAACAGTTTCCCATGGGTGATCAAAGACGTGCTCTGAATTCCAGATCTTCATGGTGCTGGCAGCCTGCGTGGTATCTGGCTGGCCCTAGGGGACAAGGAGGCGAAAAAGCCACAATTGCCCCCGCCCCACCCCCACAGTCACCCTGCCAGCCATGCATCTCGCACTGAATTTTAATTAAAATTAAGTAAAATTAAGAATTCAACTTCTGATTCATTCTAGCCACATTTCAAGTATTCAGGAACCACATGTGACTAAAGACTACACTATTTGGGCAGCCCATCTCTAAAAAAATGCTTAAATTGCAGTGTTCAAATATATATGAGATGTATTCAAGTATGATAATCATTTCAAAATCTGTCTGAAACAATTTGTTACTAAAAGTAAAGCATCAACATATATTTTGTAAACCATTATACAAAGACTGGAGAAAATATTTGCAAAAGATATACCTGATAAAGGACTATTACCCAAAATTCACAAAGAACTCTTAAAACAAACAATAACAATAACAAACAACCCAATTTAAAAATGGGCCCAACACCCTAACAGACACTTAACCAAATAAGACCTACAGATGGTCAATAAGCATATGAAAAGACGCTCCACATCATAAGCCATCAGGAAAATGGAAATTGAAACAGCAATGAGATGCTACTCCACACCTATAAGAATGGCCAAAATCCAGATTACTGATAACACCAAATACTATGGAGGATGTGGAGCAACAGAACTCTCATTCATTGCTGGTGGGAACGCAAAATGGTCCAGCCACTTTGAAAGACAGTTCCATGGTGCCTTACAAAACGAAACATACTCTTACTGTCATACTCCTTGGTATTTACCTAATGGACTTGAAAACTTAGGTCTACATGAGAACCTGCGTGTGGATGTTTATAGCAGTTTTATTCATAATTACAAAATCTTGCAAACAATCAAGAAGTCCTTCAGTAGGTGAATGGATAAATAAACTATAGTATATCTAGACATTGGAATATTTGTCAGCATTAATGAGAAATGAGCCATTAAGCCATGAGAAGACATGGAGGAAACTTAAATGCATATTACTAAGTAAAAGAAACCAATCTGAAAAGGCCACATACACAACTATTTTCTGTAAAAGGCAAAACTATGGAGATGGTAAATGGTTGCACAGGTTGGGGGCTTAGGGATGTGGGAAGGCAGAGGACCGAGAGTTCTAAGGGCTGTGAAAATACTCTATGATATTATAATGATGGATACATGTCATTTATACTTTGTCCAAATACACAGAATGTACAACATCAAAAGTGAATCCTAACATAAACTATAGACTTTGGGTGATTATGATATGTCAATGTAGGTTCATCCTTGGTAAAAATATGTGAGTGATGTTGATCATGGGCGAGGTTGTGAATCATGTGAGGGCAGAGGGTACATGAGAAATCTCTGTACCTTCCTCTCGATTTTGTTGTAAATCTAAAGCTTCTCTTAAGAAAATCTTTAATTTTTTTAAATAAGAAAAAAAAGAAAATCTTTAAAAAGATAAACCAAAATAAAGCCAAAACAAAAAAGCAAACCATTATTAACTTAGAACACTGTTAAGTAAAAAAAAAAAAAAAAAAAAAAAAAAAAAAAAGAACACTGTTATCACTGTATTAAGATTGACCATTTTTATTTACTTGTTCAATGGGAAACAGCTGAATTTATAATAGCAAGTCTACTGGGAATGGTACGTCACCCACAGGCCATGCATCTATGCAACAGTACAGAGTGGATGAACATTATTACTGTGCCATTAGCAAATGCAACAATTAAAAATTACCATAGTAACATGACTATATCAGGCCTTTATAGCAGCTTGTTTGGCCACAGAAAAACCTGTCCTTTATAGAATCCTCAGCCTCAAACATTTTTGGGAAGCCCTCAGGATACTTATGTGAGTCTGTGAATCAGTCCTGTGCTCTACAGATACTACTCAGTGTCGTACACAGTGTAGTGATCCACCATGATGCAATATTTTTAGTTCTTTTTTCTTTTCTAAAATCTGGGTATGTTCATGGCAGTTTTTTGCACATATGAACATCTTCCAACATTCTGGTATGGGGTAGGAGGAGATTGAAAGACAGGAATGCTTTAGAAAAGTAATCTCATGAGTTATTCACTATGTAAAAGAAGGAAATAAAGTGTTGATAGTGTGTGGCCACTATCACTTCTGACCATTTTCAAGTAAAGCAACACCATTTAGATCTGGATAAATTTAGAGCTCATAATAATATATAATAATATAGTTCAGGAACTGGATGGATTTTCTCAGTATGAGGGGCACATTTTGGAACGGGGCTTATTTTTTTAAGGACCCAATACTATGGAAATAAACACTATGTCCTCATTTGGGGAATGGAAAGAGTGTGGTTAAATCATTATTAATGAAACTGACAGATTCCTGATGGACAATTTCTTTTTCATTCGTGCAAAACGTTTGAAATGAGAAACCTGAGGTATTTTAAGATGCCATTATTTATTTTGTTCTAATTGGCAGGTAACCCCCAAGACAGTACTGTCCCAAAGAGCCTTTGCAATTACTGAAGAATTTGTAAGGTAATTCTTATGTTCCTCAATTCAAAAGAACCATGTAATTGTAATTATAATAGAAATTCCAGAAAATGAGGTCAAAGTTCACCCCAAGATAATTAACCTACTCTACCCTGGGTTAAATATGTATGGAAACAATAGGGACAAATTGAATGCACTGAGCATTAAAACTGTCAAAATAGGAATGTTGAAAATATGTTGTTAATGCTTAAAAATAATTTGTACTCTAAGTCAAATGACCATTTGCCAGGGAGAACCAAAGTTGAGAAATTTCTATTAAAAACATGACTCAGAGGAAAAATTGCAGAGGCTGGTAATGAAGGAAATGATCTGATATTATCCCCAATTGGTTATTCCTAAGATCACATGATCTGGGCGTCTTTAAAAGGAGGTTATCTGGGCTCCAGAAGGTCATAACACCTTACAGACCACGGCAGCTTTTTTCTCATCTTGGAGATAATCCTAAAAGCTCATAAAATGTGTGATGCTTTTGTGGGTACCTGGAAACTTAGCTCCAGTGAAAACTTTGATGATTACATGAAAGAAGTGGGTAAGAAAATATGTTGTGGGGTGACTGGATTTATAACTTTTTCTCTGGGGACAAGGGGCTTATGGCTGCTTTATTGGCGAGATACGAGATGCTGCTTTCTATACAGAAGCTATAAAAGTAGCAAGCGAGAACCATTTGTTTGTAGAAACATTCTAGACCAAAGTCACAACTAATGGTGAGCCAATATATACGTTAAAAAAAAAAAGGTCTACCTGGAATTTTTACAGTCCATAGAAGTGACAAGATTTTATTTCACTGCTAAACTGGGGTATCTTTGTTTTACTTGGCCCTTTGCCTGTTTCTCATTTATTCTCTCTTGCATCTAAAATAAGTAAGACTATATTCCCCATGATTCAAAAATTTCTATTTGAAGCTGAAAGCACTACATTTCTCTTTTTAATGTAGCTTTAAAGTAAACATATATTAACTAATTATTTTATTTTCTGTCAATCTGTTAAAATGTGGTTGTTTTATGGGAGCCAAAATCTTAATTTCAGAATATATGTTGCTTTAAGGGGTTAAATATTTTTTGACTAGGAATTACGTGGGATGCCATAGGATTGCCAAGTAAGTCAAAGGACAATGTTATATACATTATGTACCTTCCCTTTGATAATGGAGGCTTTCAGGCTTTTAGAACAAAATGTTCCCTGGATAATTACTGTGGTGAAGCAAGAGGGTCCGGAGGCTGGTTCTCACTCAGCTTCTACCTTGAAAGCCCCTCTCCTCACACCCCTCTGCATGATAAGGTTGTATCAATGGGTAACAATTTGAGGAGGGGTTTTTAGAGGGGTTAGGATTCTAATCTATCTCAAGACTTCACCTTTTCCTGAATCATACAGTATATATTTTTTCCTTGTCTGTAAGCACTACTATTTTCCTTGTTTATAGATTATGGACGTCAGCATCAGTGAGAACTAACTTTCTAGAATATCAACTAGTCATGATTCAAGAAACTAATTAGTACGAGCCGATACAGAGATGTCAGGATTTGAGGCTATTTTGCTATTGATTTTTAGGAACACTTTATGCTTTTTTAACATTCATATTTAAATTCTTGTACCATTGTGTTTTAAAATTATAAAGTACTGATAGTAAGGAAAGACAATAAGATAGCTCCTGAAATTAGTTGCTCTAGAGATGACCAGTAAGCAGGTAGTACTTTCATCAGTCAAAGAAGGACTGAATAAAGCAAATGGAGAATGTGATTTTTCCCAAGGTCAGCCATTCTGGAATTACACCCGATGCTGCATCCATTCATTATACTGACTCACTGCATGTATTTGAAGATATATTTTGTAACAGAGCCAGGCCTTGATGAAGCAATATATCTTTCCATGTGCAGCCATTTTTTTCAGACAGGGAACTAAATAAGAGCCTCAGCATCGCTTGTTTGGTATACTATTTCTCTCCCTTTTACCTCTATCTAACCTTTGGTATAGACAAATAGTCTGTCGTCAAAGTAGTAGCTTAGATTTATGTACATATGTTAAGAATTTCAACACATTAACGACTGCCATAAATTCTGTATAACATATGCAGTGACAGCAAGTTCCCACTGTCTACATTAAGCTGTAAGCTGTTCACCCCTTACCTTACCTAAGGAAAAAAGTTCCTTTTTTAAAAAAGAGGGATTTGCAACTGAGGTGATTGAGAATCAAAGTATTGATTTTTAAACTTACTCAAATAGTGGTTCTTCAAATTTTGAAGTTTTCAAAATTGACTAGACCCTCTTTAACCTTTCCCACAGTTTATTCTTAGATGGTATGTAGGAAACATTTTGCCTTTTGGAGAAATTAATCAAAATCTTCATTTCATAGTAGAGTAATTTGGAAAAGCCAAGAAAATAGGACTTGGCAGCAAACGTGATGAAATGTGACTTTTGTACACCCAAACAGCATATTTTTAAGTGGAGTAACTCTATGTTGGTTTTAAAAGCCTATTGAGAATTCTCTTTGACCATGGATTTTTGTTTTCTAAAAAAGAAAGGTCGAGGTGACCCAAGAGTTTCATGAATTGAGTAAAATGACCATTGCTGCCCTAATGGCTGAGATGGCCAGTTGATTTGCAAGTGCAGTCACTATATATATAAAATCTCTTTTCCAGAATTACCAATGTGTCTCCTGTGGAGTTGTATCTGAAACCAGGAAGGAATTTAGATAGACCTATACTTAATCGTACCATGGGTTTCTTTAAGTATTATCCTGCTTTACTTATCTGCAGCAGCTGTTTAAATGGGGCTTTTAAGAAACTCACTGGTGTCTTTGTCCTTTTATGAGCACATACCCACCTATACACACTCACCCACCTATACACATACAAACATAAACACACATACGCTACAGCTCTTTGTTACACATGAAGGAAAATTGTGAACTTGACAGTTTTTTTTTTCTTTTCCCACCCATAGGAGTGGGCTTCGCCACCAGGAAAGTGGCTGGCATGGCCAAACCCAACATGATCATCAGTGTAAACGGGGATGTGATCACCATTAAATCGGAAAGCACCTTTAAAAATACTGAGATTTCTTTCAAACTGGGCCAGGAATTTGATGAAGTTACTGCGGATGACAGAAAAGTCAAGGTGAGGAAGAAGAAATTAGAGAAGAATAATAGCATGGTTTCTAAAACACTGCAGACAATAAGAAGCCATTTTGTATAAAAGGAGGGAAACTATTCATTACGGGTCAAAGATCCCTGACTTCTAGACTCAAACCATGTTGCCTTTGATATTTAGTTGGTGAATCTTCTCCTTTCTATAAAGTTGTCTTTATTCTTTTAAAAAAGTGATTAACATAATTTATTTGTCACACAATATATAAATTATGTGAAGTGAATTAAAATAACATAACAATTTTAGAGAATGTTTATGGAAGAGTGGAAGCAAAAAAAAAGATGATCATCTCAACATAAATTTATTATCTACATTTTTACAGTATCATTTCAAGTATGTTTTTGTATAATATTCTGATCATAATGCATTATTTGCATGCTATTGTTTTTGACACCCATTTTTTATTTTACTATATCCTTGTAATTTAGAATGACTAATGTCCTCAAAATATTCCTTTATTCAAAAGTAATCTGTTTTTGGTTTTATTTTCCTCAACCATATACAAATGGTAATCATTTTTTATTATGCTCACAGAGCATCATAACCTTAGATGGAGGTGTCCTGGTACAGGTGCAGAAGTGGGATGGAAAATCAACTACCATAAAGAGAAAACGAGTGGACGATAAACTGGTGGTGGTGAGTATCTTCTAGTTGCTTAATTCTAGGCTCTACTGCTAGGTCATCTTATAATCACTATTTTATCTAAAGAAGTAGTTAGTCATGCTTGCTTACCTAGAACAAAAAAGGTGATTCACTGGGATTATGGTTTCACTCTGGCAATTGTCCTTCAAGCTTTTAAGTTCAGTTGACACGTGCTGTGCCTCAAGAAGCATTCTATGACTGCTCTCAGCACACACCATATTGTATGATGCATTTCTCACTCAACTTAAAGATTATAAAGTTCCTGGAGGGGAGGACTTGTGTTTTCTTGGTCTTTATATCTCCCTAACTTATTATAATAACAAGTATATATAGGGGCCCAGAACGAATATTTTCAAATGATACTGTTTCCTTCCCAACATTGAAGGAGACATTAAATAAACCCATAGTTTAGTCCTGCGACTGACCAAGAAATTTTTTTGTGTGTCTAGGAATGTATCATGAAAGGCGTCACTTCTACCAGAATTTATGAGAGAGCATAATCCAAGGGACATGGAGCTGAAGTTTGCATTGAACTCTACAACATTCTGTTGGATGTATTGTCCAAACATGAATTGTTTTTTTCTACTAATTAGCAAGCAACCAATTTCACCCAAATGATCTTATTCAACGTGGATATGTTTGTTAAATAAAACCTTTTAGATATAGAAGGTGATGTAATAATTCATTCATTGTGCTGGATCTTTCTTACTCATAATTCAATGAAGGAAATAGAGAATTATATTTTTGCTTTGTTTCTCATGGAAGTAATAGGATTTTTCATGGTAATCCAAGGTAAAAAACATAAATATTCATGAATTTTCAATTGTTTTAGGTAGGAGATGATAAATTTGTTATGACTGAATATGTCATATTCTAGTCCTTTTGTAGCATGTTTACAGTCAAGTAACTATCTCTCAAAGACCTAAGGTAGTTTTAAATGTACCGAAGTGGCCCATAGCCAGCTGGGCCAAACCCTGCCACTTCATACCTTCCTATTCTAGACCGTTGAGAGAATGAGCAGTAATACACGTTGCAGAGCAATATTTCTAGAGTATAACTTTTAATCTGAAAAATTAATGGCAAACCTAAGCTATCTCTGGAGTCTCTCAAAAATTAATGCAAATAATCCCATAATGTTCATTCCAGAAAAGAGATGACAGCTTGTAATGAGTAATGATGCAAATGTTCTTACAGTGGCTTTCAAATTTTTCTTTTTTTGAGGAGTGGAACTTTTTATTAAATAAAATATTGAATATGTTTTGGAACTTTTTATTCAAATAAAATCTCCATGGATTTATAAACAAACAAAAACGATAATGAGGACTCCCAGACAGAAGAGTGTGTGTGTGTGTGTGTGTGTAAAAGAGAGAGAGAGAGAGAGAGAGAGAGAGAGAGAGAGAGAGAGATTTCTTCTGTTTTTTGTAGAAGCTTTGAAGCTATTCTAGAAATCACTGTGTGGTGCTCCACCTACATAGACGAAAATTTCTAAACTACATACCTATATTTTACAGTCAGCCAGAGTCTGTTAGTGTGCTGCAGTTGCTAGAATTCTGTTTGTGATGCTTCCTTTAAGAATAAGTCCATTATTTACTGAACACTTGTTTTTTGCACAACACCAAGATATGAAGAGGCCAGAAGAGGTGAAGTCAGCTCCTGATCATAAGAATTTACTTTTTTTGCAAAAACAGAGAATCAGATTCTCAGTTTGGGCTCACTGGAGGATTAAAGAACTCCACATAGAAGCCTTATAGGGACCCAGTAAGACAATTCTTCATAAATGAATATTTATTAAGCACTTATTTGGTCCCAGGCACTTCATGTGCTTTACTTCATTTATTATCACAATAATCCTATAAGGCAATTTTAGTATTCCTGTTCACAGATGAGGAAACTGAGGTTTACAGTACAAAAAACTACCTAGGGAATAAACAATCTGAAACTCAAGAAAGCAACCTTGGGTAGGATATAGATCTAGGAGTCCTCAGTATCCAAGTGGTTATTTATTTATTTATTTATTTAAAGATTTATTTATTTATTTATTCCTGAGACATACAGAGAGAGAGAGAGGCGGGGGGGGGGGGCAGAGACACAGGCAGAGGGAGAAGCAGGCTCCATGCAGGGAGCCCGATGTGGGACTCGATCCTGGGTCTCCAGGATCAGGCGCTGGGCTGAAGGCGGCACTAAACCACTGAGCCACCAGAGGCTGCCCCAAGTGGTAATTTAATTCATAAATGGTGATGAGATCATCCAAGGATAAGGGAGAGTTAGAAAAAAGAAAGACTTGAAGGTGATCAAGTGGATGTCCTAGGCACCTCAACTCAACATGTTCTACGCTAAACTTACCATTGCTGCCCTCTTCTCCTCACTCCCTAAAACTTGTTGATCATCCTATTTTCCAAAGCTCAGTGAATGCCAGGATGTTTTGTCCAATTTCCCATTCCATAAATATTAAAATCATTATTGAATTTATCTTCTTCCTCACTCCACGGCATCTATTTTATTTTTAAAAAATCATGTTGATTCTATCAACTTAAAATTTCTTTAATGTTTGCTTTCCTCATTTCCATTGCCAATACCACCAAACATTTTTAAAATTACTTCTGGACTCTCCTAATAAATTTTATTTATTTATTTATTTATTTATTTATTTATTTATTTATTTATTTATTTATTTTATTTATTTATTTATGATTTTATTTATTTATTCATGAGAGACACACACACACAGAGAGAGAGAGAGAGAGAGAGAGAGAGAGGCAGAAACGGCAGAGGGAGAAGCAGGCTCCATGCAGGGAGCCCAAGGTGGGACTCGATCCCGGGTTTCCAAGATCAGGCCCTGGGCTGAAGGCAGTGCTAAACCACTGAGCCACCTGGGCTGCCCAATTTCCCTCTTTTATTCTCAATTCTCTCTTCTCTTTTCCAAGTTCTATAGACTTCACAAATAATATTTATACATTTATACAATTTATACAATAAAAACCTGACCTGTTCACTCACTGATTAAAAGCTGTAAGTGATGCCCATTGCATCCAGAGAAGGTCCAATCTCCATAGCGTGGCATGCATATTTGTCTTATACTTGCCTTTTCCCAGATGTGTAGTTTGATCATTGTTCTTATTGTCTTTGTATTCCTTGCTTCCATCATACCAAGCAATTTTCATACTTTTTTTTGCCTTAAGTTGTGTGTGTATGTGGGGGGGGTGGGTGGGTTTGTGTGTGGGTGTGTTGTGTGTGGGTATGTTCTGCTTCCTTCTGTCTAAAACTCTCCCTTCCCTCATCCCGAAACTTCCTCATCCCTTAATGGTTCCTCTGTGCTAACTTTTTACAAAGTTGCATTAGGCACCACTTCTAATTATGTGTATTTGTGGATCTAGGTATTTTTGAAAATTTACTCTTCAAGTTTATTCTTATTTTTCAGAAGAAAAATGGAAGCACTGAGTAAGAAGATTCAGTTCAATGTAAATTTGCTAGATAAGTTAATTTCTTGCTTCTGTATTTTCTTAAAACTAAAGCCATAGATACAAGAAATATCTTTGAGTATCAGTTCTCAAATTCATCCTTCTTGAGACTTCTTGACGCTCACATAATTTTCCATTGTCTGACATTGCTTCTACCAACATATATACAAAAACATAGAGAAGATTCTACTCTTAAAAGAAGAAAGACAGGGGACAGCCCGGGGGGCTTAGCGGTTTAGCACCGCTTTCAGCCCAGGGCCTGATCCTGGAGACCCGGGATCGAGTCCCATGTCGACACTCACAGCATGGAGCCTGCTTCTTCCTCTGCCTGTGTCTCTGCCTCTCTCTCTGTCCCTCATGAATAAATAAATAAAATATTTATTAAAAAAGAAGAAAGGATCAAGTATATACTTCTCAGAAAAACAGATGTGTGGGTATAGAGTCCATCTATATTTCGAAGTAGATAAGAATGTTTCAAAAAGCCATTCACTCAGTCTTCAGAAACTGTGAGATTCAGATGACATGATAGGCCAGCATATCCTTTGTTTTCTCCAATTCCCATCACTACCATCATTGAACTATAATTTCTACCTTAGAAATACTTCTTCCAAATCCCAAATCAGTACTGGCTTAAATTTTTATTTGAAAATTATGCATAAGTTTTGAAAAGGTGACCTAACCTATTTAGAATAGTGATTTTCACCCAAGTCATTATTGTTGACTTGAACCATTGTGTGGTATGTCAAAATAAGTTACTACCAATAATAAAGTATATAAAAATTTACAAATTATTTTACTTTAAAAAATAAATTACTTAAATTCAATATTATCCTGTAAAATACTTTTTTTTAATAAACATGTACTTTTATTTGCTTTCTTCAATGGGAAAGAAAGAAGTTATCATCTGCACTTGAGAATTACTCAAGGGTTTGTGAGGCACTTGTGAAAAGTTACCTCTTCAGGTGTGTTGCTGCTGAAGGGAAAAATAGATTTTGAAGTCTTGAGTTAGAACATGTAAGCCTCCAAGATGGCTGCCAGGTAGTGATTTTTTTTTTTTTATCTTTGGGGTCTAGCTTTTAAGCAGTGTGTTTATAGCACTGCTAGCCAGACTGTACGGATACAGGAAATGGCTGAGTGAAGGAGTAAGGCACAGCACTTAGCTAGCTTATCAATGAACATCTCTCTAATTTGATGTGAAAAACACAATATTGACCTTACATCTAATTATGGATCCATCCATTTATTCATACATCAGCTGTATCCCAATGCAGGATACAATAAAAGGATTCACACAGAGTCAAACAAACAGAAAATTGTAGGCAACAGGAAAAAAAATCAGTCATTGAGAGCATCTCAAGGGCAAGGATTGTGTCAGATTTGTAGCGAGATCCCCAGACCCTGGCATAGTGAACAGGGGAGTTAGAGCTTAATAAACGATTCTTGAATGAGTAAGTTAACTATCTTCTTTGCGTTAGGTGTGGTATGGAACACAGAAAGAATGGTAGCCCATATTCATATTCTTAATGTAACAGAGAAATAGCATGAATACCATCACATTACCTCAGAAAATTGTCCTGATATTCCCTCTCTTCCCCCAAATCTAGGAAAGGTTAAAACTTTCCTCTCCATGAACACAGAAAAGTGTGTGTTCTTAGTATAACAAGATATTACTACATTCCCATTTCTCATCTTTCCCATTCACTAGGTTATCACTGCTTCTAGAGCATGTCACTTACATGTATACCCAGAATCTAGCATAGTGCCTAAAAGATGGTAATCCCTCAGTAAATTTTAACAGAATGAATTAAGATGCAATACAGGGGAAGAAATGGATTATACACTAAATTATGTGGTATATTCTATGGACCAACATGTGTTGGAGTAGTCAGAGTTTTCAACATAGAAGATGTATTTGCGTTAGGCCATGAAAGATAACTGTCATTAATTGCTTATTAATTAGTTTTATGATAGAATAACTTGGCAAATACCAAGCAGATTTTCTATGTTTTTCAAGTTTAGTTGGCATAAATTCAAATTAGAATTAGTTATAACATTAGGATGTTAAATGTAATCCCCATGGAAATAAAAAAGAAACTAGTTATAGAAAACAACAAAAGGAAAAAAAAAACAACTAAAGGACATGAGAAAGGAATTTTAGTGTTTCACTACAAAAAAAAACAACTAAACAAAAAAGAAAATAGTAATGCAGGAAATAAGGGGGAAAAAAGCTACAAAGCACATGGAAAACAGCAAAATGACAGAAATAAATCCCTCCTTATCAGTAATTGTTTAAATGTAAATGGAGTAAGCACTCCAATCAAAGACAGAGGTTGGCAGAAAGAATGAAAAAACATAATCTAACCATATGCTACCTATAAGAAATTAACTTTAGATTCAAAGATCGAAGCTGAAAGTCAAAGGATAGAAAAGGATATTCCATGCAAATAGTAACCAAAAGAGAGCAGAGGTGGCCATACTAATAACGGACAAAATAGGCTTATATATTAATGAAAATTTCAATACAGCAAGAATATATAATAATTATAAACATTTATCTAGCAACAGACCATCAAACTATATTAAGCAAAAAATGACAATTTTTATGTCTCAAAAAATACTTGCCAGAATTAAAGGGAGAAATAGACAATTCTACAATAATACTTGTAGAATTCAAATCTTTCTCAATAAGGGATAGAATAACCAGATAGAACATATGTAAGGAAATAGCAAACTTGAAAAACAAATAAACCAACTAAATCTAACAGATATGTATAGAACACTCAACCTAACAACCAGCAT